AACACATCGTCAAACATGGACTTCAGAAACTATAACAGGAAAACGAGGACAAGTTGTGTACGAACTGCAAGTAGGAACAGAAAAGTGGATCAGACAAGCAAATCAACTACGAAGAAAGTACACTCCAGATGAACGCGAAGATATCATCCCTGATGATCAGATATGCCAGTGGTTAGACGATGCTCCATCAGACACCGCACGACCACAAAACACACATCCACAAAGGTTGGATTTGGTTACACAACGAAATGGTCATCTACCAGCATCTAGATATCCTCATCATATTAGACGTCTCACACAGCCACTATAGGTTAACCCACGAATGAAATCACACGAGGCTCGAGGACTTACGGGTGCCAGCAGGCGTACAGGCAGTGTCATTGACCTTGACCTTTTATGATGTCATGATTATCGCTCTTATCGTGCGGTTTAGTGCGGACACATTCATTCGTACATACACCGATCCGACGGTCTTTGTTCTTCCTCTCGCTCTGGGCGATCCGGGAACATAACATGTCCCTGGGGGTTCTTGAGCAATATGTTAGGAACAGTTGATCCGGAAAGTGTTGCTGGCCTACGATGCATGAAAAGCAATTCTTCGGTACATTTGGTTGGGTTTAAAGAGAGCTTTTGTATTTTCGTGGGAATTAGGTGACTTCCTAAACATCGCCCACTTCTTTGTATGACGGTTCATCTCTAGTCCTCACAGAAGCGCGTGGCACTTGCAAGATAATAAGAGTTTTACAATTAGGCACTCGGTTCCGGTCCACTCGGTCTGTCGGAACAGTTTCACATGCCCAGAGGAACCAGACCGCCTTCATTTGGTTTAATGCATCTGCCAGGGTATGGTCGTTGCAAAAGTGAAGCAACGTCTTAGTAGCACAAGTGAGCTGTAGATGATTGGTGTGGATCAGGAGAGGGAGGCACAGAACACGATCTTGAGCCGCAGGCATTCAAGCCATCATTGGGAATACGCAACACTCTGATCCTTGTTTATACCCTCTATGACTTGGTAAACAATCGAGAGAGAGAGAGAGGATTGGGTCTCATTTTACGCCAATCGACTGTCTGTGTGAGTTTCGGTACCTGCGTTTTGCTTTGTCCACTCAGCCAAGGGGGGTGAGAGCAAAAATAGACGAAATTTTCCCGTCAGGCGCTTTTACTCTCCGATCCATTCTGGAGACTAGCGAGGTGGGGTTAAAGTTCCCCTTGGTCGGAAATCGTTTACTAGTCACCGTTATAGAAATGTGGTCATCCATTTTCTCGACTATATGATCATGTCTGGAATGTGGTTGTTTCTAGAGTAACCATTGTGTTCTTATATTGTTTCATAGCTCGTCCTCGTGCACACTGTGTCACATCCATGGACCAGTGACCAAATCTCATCCGATCCATTGATTCGTTCCTGTGTTTGTGCAGTTGTCATAGGAACACACACTATGCGCACTTTTCCCCCTCAGTCTGTTTGACTCCCACCGCGCAAAAAAAAAGATTTCCCAAAACCGGTGACACTCATCTAGCTTTGTCTCTTGTGTGATCTGCAATCAGGAAATACCCGAGACTACCAGGGCACAAAGTGCACATTCGTAGCGTATTCCAAGCATTTGCTGGACATAATGAACGAAATGGTTTTGGTTTCTCCGTTTTTTTTTCATCCTAGTTTTACATTTTGCGAAAATTCGAAATTGAGACGATAGAATTATGAGTATGTCTGAACGATAATTTTCCCAATTCTGAACGATAACGACTGTGTTATTTATTCGCCCAATTGTGGTACACAGGACCGACGACCTCAGCTCTGAATCCACTCGAAACACATGGTCCGAGTTCTTGTACCACTATCGCCGAACAATCATCCCTGAACACTCACTTATGCTCTCAATGCACAGGGAAAATACAAAATAACCATGAACGCAAAGATCCAGTGAAGAGACAATTCAGTTCAGTTTTTACAACCATACGCACTTTCATGCGCCAGTTTTGGTTACTGTCTTTTGGCCGCCAATAGGGATAAAATAGCAGAATGAAGATTGGAATGTTGAAAGCAAATTCAAGCGCAAGATGGAGAATTCATATGGACTGGTGTTTGGAAAATAGTGAGTAGATGCATGAGCGCCACTGTTTGCGACACCCAGTCATATCACGCAGTGTTTCTAATCATCGGTGACCATGATCTCGAGGTCCTCATCCAGGGAGCCTAACGGGACCTATGTGACCCAGACTCCTGATTGGGGTTTTCATACCCTCATGCCAGGTCTTTGTTTGACCACCCTTACTCTTTTCCAACCTCTACTTGCCTTGGCAAACATCGCTCGCCGTGGTAACCTATCTGGTGACATGCGTAGCGCATGTCCCGACCAGCGTAATCTATGGAGGTCGATCATTTAATCCAGTGGACGACCACGACTGCTTGAACTCTACACCCGACCTCAGCATTGCTTGTCCGGGTTCCCCACCAGATTCGTGCAATGTTGCTTAGACAGCGGTGTTCGAACACCGAAAATCTATTTTTATCCTGTTCCCCTAGTGGCCAAATCTCTGCATCGTAGATTCGGACTGACTAAACTGCTGCAGCATATACTCGACCGTTCACAGACAGCCAGATGTCTCGACGGCGAAATGTTTACGACTCACACTCAGTTCAAAATGACTGCGCCCGTGCTTTCACTACGAGATGGTTGATTTTATTCTTTTTTATGGGGCGAGCTAAAAGCATTTCGCATCTTTCAGAAACTATATCCGGGATATAATTGGTCCAATCCCAGATTCATATATGGGCCTAGTGGGGTACGCTGTTATGAGCACATCACATTTCCCGACCAGATTGACCGGGGTTCGCAAAGAATTGCAAATAATACTGACGTATAGAAGGGCGGAGGAGGCGCCATAGTACTGTCACCTCAATATTTTCCGATTGAACTGATCCACCCACCAAGGTCGTTGCTGTTCCAGTTGAATTCACCCCAAAGTATTGCCGTTTAATCCATACAGTTTGATTGTGGCCCGAAATCGATCGAAACGTTTATTGGCCGTATGGCACGATTGATTGGTTGATCAATACTGATTGCTACCGCGTACGTCACAGGATCGGTTCGCTTCAGGCAGTGTTAAACTGCCCGGTATGATCAGCTGGCTGACCTCGTGCCTGACCAGTTTGATTGCATCTAATACTTTCATTCGCCTGCCTAACGTTGTTTGCACACGTGTCCACGGATGTATCCGTAAGGTGTTGTAACGTTACGATACGGCTGGCCTAGCACGAGCGGTGACCAACGATACGTGCGGCACCAGAGACCCAAGAACCGAACTGTACGACCCAGTGGAAATAGTGACGGTGCACTAGTGCGCCCGACTTTGGTACCCCAAGTGAGTCCCAACCGAACCGTAACGAGAAAATGCCCCACAAACCATACAATCCCCGAAACCCGACCAGAGAGAACTCGGAAGACAAGCCCTTCAGGTTAGGTTGTATATCTCACTCGATCGTGAAAGGCGAAGAAAGCGGACAGCTCATCTTTTTATGTACAGTTCGGGGACCGGCCATCAATTACCTTGAAAAAAATGGACCAATGGGGATCAAGCATGGCCGGTGGTATGGTATGAGTCTTATTTGGTGTTGGAAAATATGAAAATTCACATTTTATGAAAATAAATAGGGAAATAAGGAAAAATAGTGTGTGTGTGTGTGAGAGAGAGAGAGAGAGAAATAGTCACTTTTATAGGAAAAGATGGCCTTTTCCTCATCAGGGGTTAATGACTGCACCGATGGTTCGTACTAATAAGCGCTTTCGTATTACGATTGCCTGCAATTTCTTCAGTCATTCTTTATTGTTTCTCCGCCCGGTTTCGGTTGAAATTGTTCAATCTGACTATCATTGAAGACCGCACTTGAACAAACATGAAGTGGTAATGCGGTTGAGTCATGTTGTGAGCTGCTGGTTGGCACCGTGGTGGTAACGCACACACCTTCCATGCGATGAATCCGGAGTTCAAATCCCGGACGGTTGAGCGGTGGCTGTGCACTATTGAGAATGAAACTCGAGTCCAGGGCTTCCGAGTGTATGCATTGAATTGATGAATTTGATGATTGTGCGTGAAGATGAAGTCCGAAGGATAGTCAGTTCAAATCAATAAAATATCAATTACCCCCCCCACACACACACACACTACTCACAATTGAAATGCGAACAATTTGTGTTCCTTGCCGAACTCAATGAGTGAATTTGATTTTACAGTTGCGATCCAGTTGTTAGGTGACACAGATCAACCGTTTGTGTGTGTGGAGGGGGGATTACATTGTTCTCTCTCTCTCTGGTTCGGGCATGTCCAATCGATAGGCATGAATTGATACAACAGTGAATGATTGCCGGTTGTCGAATAGCACAAATAGTTTGTGGTGTTTGCGCACTCGTGTGTGTGTGTGTGTGCGCGCGCGCACGCACAACCTTGCGATGCCTGTTGATTGTGTTCGTGCAAATCCCCTTACGCGGCTCAAACGATAAGCACTTAATCACACGAGATCCATGGATAGAACCGGTCTCACTAGCACTTAGTCTCAAGTGTGTGTGTATGTATCCGTTAGATCTCCTGTGAATCGCTTTGTTATCACTCAACCCTGCTAACGGCCGATGCCAGCATTGGTAACTGTCACCCCACCCACCCCCACCCGGGTGCTTGATTTGATGCCTATTCTGCTGAGGAGTGATATGGTTTGTCACCGCACTCCCGTCCCCCATTCATCCAGCTCGGTGGTGGCTATGCACTCGGGATTAGTTGCACTTTACACACGTATCAGATTAGACTATCGTATTTTCAGAGCATTTTACAGTCCAGTCCAAATTGACTATTGTGGGCGAATTGTCAACATTTTTAGGCCTAGCCACTTTATCTCACTTTGGCTAATAGTATGGACGAAGTTTTCATACTAAACTTGATGAATAGCGCACATTGTGGATTCGAGAATTGTGACCTACACCAATTATTCTGTTCGAATGAAGATACTGTTTTTTTCCAGCAGTGTTCGTTTTTCATAAATTTATTCACTTTTTTTCTCCTTGTCAAAGTATACTGCGTTCTCCTAACATTATGCTGCTCCATGTGGGTTCCTACGTCAGTCATGGTAGTGAACTGTTTATCTTATGTTGTGGTTTTTTTTCTGGCTCAGGTATCGTTCTCAGCTACACCACTCATTCCACCTTACACAATAACAGTTTTGGCTTCTCACACCATTCGATGGTGGTGGTGGTGGTGGTGGTGGTAGTCAATGGTTCTATCCCCCCCCCCCCTGTCCCTATAAGCGCTGTTCGATGGTAATATAAAATCATTCTGTTACCTCGTTGCTTATATGGTCGACATGTGCTTAAGGCCATCTCTTTCGTTAATCTTGAATGGAATAAGTTTTTACCCAGCGAAAATTTCTGGTCTCACTATTTGATGGACAGTTTTCTCCTCTTACCTGACTCACTGTAAATTGCTCCATCACTCCGATCCCTATTCTCAGTACATGTATGGTTCACTAGAGTGACACAAAATGTCCGTTATGACTCATTCAGTAGTCGAGTCACATGCAAAAAATCTGCCCTTGCTCTCTTTCTGGTACTTGTTCGTGCTTATCGTCAGTTGATTTTATCCGTATAATTTTTTTTTCATAAAAATTCACGTCAAAAAACTAGCCTAACTGGACGTAATTTACAGCTTGATGTACACGTTCACATGCACAGGCCGGTCAATATACCCACTGCATTGAAAGTCAACTGTGTCTCTCTTTGTTGTACAAACTAGTTCTTCTACCCGCTTGCTGACCAACGGTGTCGAGGACATCCTGTCATACGATTCATATTTCAGTGCCGTTATCCTACCTCGTCCGAGATACAACTGACTGGTTCTTGTTCTAACATGCGAAACACCGCGTTGTATTCCACTAGTCCTGGCATGCTCTAATCGGACCACTCTTAACGAGTAATCGGATAATCAGCACCTTTCCACATATAGTTCTCCAATCTGTGCACATCATTTTCAGCACACGCAATCTTATCCATGATTCAATAAATTGAAATGTCTCATGTTCACTTCCCGTTCATCTGATCGATTCTATTTCATGAATCTTCACTTCTTGTTCCCAATCGTTGAACATCTTCCCAGTAGTAAACAAGCAAACAAAATAAACCACTGAAAATATACATACATTTCGTTCAAATTTTTTTCTGGGCTATCCCGGTTTTGTTTTGTAACTATTTCTCTCTCTTTCCCATTCGTTCACCCCCTCGCCGTTTGTGAATTATTCGACTGTTTGCATGCTTGTTTTTTTATCTCGCAGGTGGTCGCCTGTTTGAAGGAACTGGAACCGGAATGCCCGAGTCAAACGGAGTATCGTGATTTGGCCCTATTGCTCACACTACCCCGACTAGATCAACATCCGGCCTATCGAGACTGGAATCCCAGTTTGGGTCGATTGCAATGTTTCAACAAGGTTAGTGCACCACCACCCACACCATGGCAACTGTTTAATGCTTGAGAGTAATGTGTGTGTGTACGGGGGTGGGAGAAAGGGTTTTCGTTTCGCTCCGGTGGTTTCGCATTCCCGATCACAGTTCAAATCAAGTTTATTCTCTCTGTCCAAATGAGAATCGGCATTGATCAGCCTGGGCGTCAGTCAGTGTACGGTTCTCGCGACGTATCGTTGTCACGTGTTCACTTTTGGATGCTGAACCGTTTGGTATAGTTAAATACTTCATCGAGCCGCAGTGGTAGCCCGGTGGTAACGTTAGCAAATTATCACCCCGGGGAACGTGTGTTCGAATCTCATCATCACTGTCTGACTTCTCCGTTGTGTGTGTTGAATGGTAGCCCCGTTTGATTGGCCGCTTCCCCGTTCCTGAAAAAATTGTTGTATCTTTGTGTATTCAATGAAACGGAAGTAAAAATGAAAAAGAAAGAAAAGAAAAGATTGGGGCGAATCGATGGTTGGAGACCAAACAACTTGAGGCAGAAGAAATTTCTACTAGAACGCTAAAAGAATGATACCGGCAGTTTAGTCGACTCTTTTAGACTAACCGTGTAAAGGGATGTTCCCTGAGGTGATCGTTATTGATGTAGTACTTGATGCACGAGGATCACTTCTCGAATGCGATGCCGTTTAGATGGATATAATCCGAAGATTTGCACCCCTTTAACGTAGGTCTCGAATTGTAACGTTTTGGACCATTTTGATTGCTCTTCTCTGCAAACGTTCGAGTGATTTTTTTTGTCATCAATTAGCCACGGATTCCAAACTGGGGTGACGCACTCGGTGTGTGTGTGGTCTCATGTATGCTGGTCGCAAACAGAGCAATAGGTCTGATTGGAATGGTTTAAAAATACTACATTTGAGTGACTCAATTTGATTAATGGTCATTGATGATGCTATAACACACACACAGTGTGTGTGTGTGTGTGTGTGTGTGTGTGTGTGTAACATGCTTGATCCTCCCGAATAATAGTTTCCCGATCCTTTTGGTTTGGAGCACGAGATAATGACTGATATCCAAGTAGGTATGGAAAGAAAAACGTTCCATGATTTGCATGTGGGCGGAATACTGCCAGGTTGCCCAGGCCGGGGCAGGTGAATTTGTTTGAGGAATCCACAACGAGCCGGAGCCTTTGGTTAGCCAAAGCCTGACCCGCAAGGCAACGGAGTGGTGTGTCTGTGTGTATGGAAACCGCAATCCATTTGGGAGCCGATGTCCAGTTCAACCGGATCATACGCCCTTTTGGACGGGGTCAAACGTCCAACGTGTCCAGTACACCTTGGTGCCCAATCAAGCCGGTGATCATTGCCACAACCAGGAAGTTGTTTGTGGATAGTTCGTACACCTCCTCATGGTTGAGTGGAATCGGGGGGGGGGGTTATGAAGATTATTGTNGTAAAATATATAAATATATGTAGGTTTGGAAAGTGAACCCTGTGACGCAATGATGCAACCTCACATTTCTCAATATTGAATTCGATGTCGTTAATTCCGGACCATCGGTAGGCTGTGTCGAGTTTTTATATATGTATAATATAATATAATTTTCAGGTCGTTGTATGTTGTTTTGGCGTCGTCAGCAAATAATGGTGCTTTTGCCCCAATTATGTCTGATAGATTTGTTTTAAATTCCCGAACAATGTGAGAAACAAGTGAAGTTTCTTGTGGAACTTCACGGACTACATCAATTGATCTCAATCGCGAACCATTCATTCAAAGTGTTACGGTGCGTTGTCCGAGAAATTCCTCAATCCCAGTCACAAAGTTTTGGAGAGGTTCAAGTAGACTACCTCCCCTGCGATAGCTGTTCTTGTCCGTTCGTCTGGACCAAGTAGCAGATTTGTGGTCCACTTGTGTTGACCTGATGACAGAACGGTCTGCTTCTCGTAATGCTGCAGCGACAATTGATTCCATTTCTTTTGATAAAACAGGAAGTAGTGTAACTGAAGGGTATTGCACGGTAACATATTTCCATCCCAAGATATGACTAACACTTTAGGGGAACATGCATGCGCTATTTCCTTCGTCTGCAACCAGTCGCTACACATCTGATAGTGAGATTCTTGAACTGCTGACTGTACTCTGGTGATTCCTCCCAAATCTTGTTACTCTATTAAGTTGGCTGTTCGATGATACAACACTGTGTGGCATCTACCTCAAGCGCTTTCGGAACGTGGACATTGTGAAATGGAATCAGCGCAAGACTATTTCGAGATGTTACAGGAGTTAGCACTGCGCCCATGCCCTGTTACCCGCCAGTTTTGCACAAGCATCCACATTCCCGACACCCGTGTCCAACTAATGCATAGACCGCTGGAAGAGACCCGCGGACGTCGCCAACTGTCCCCAGGATGATTAAATAAGCACGGATAGTTTGCAGTGCTTTTCCCATATGCTGTAATCAGAATCCTCATCAGTAGACCTTCACTCGAATTACCCTCGATCGTCTTCCAGATAGAGTGCATCTATCACTACGGTCGTGTCCTTACTCCCAATATTTTGAGCATCGTAAGTAAGCCACCGTCTTCCAGTCGACCAAACTCAATGTATAAGTTGATTGTGTAACTTTCTAAGACGGAACTATCCGTAGCAGCCACATTGGTGGTTAATCCTCTTCACCCGTGCTTTCCTCGTGCATGCATCTGAGTTTCTATGACTTCTCCTGAGTTCTGTTTGTATCCGGGGTGAACAAACACTCATTCCATGGCACCATTTCACCGGTTATCCATCCATTCTGTTCTGAATTGGATTGTCTATACATCCTGTTCTATTTCACCTGTTCGCCGAGCTGGGCAGTTTGTTGGCAAACGTTTCATCACCAGCCGAGGTGACATCATCAGTGCATATGAAGTGGCAGTCTGCCAGTTCACCCGAGCTACGAGAACCAATTTTCTATACATCCTATATTGTATCGCACTCCTTATCTGGTGTAAAGTTGCTCGACTACACTTATCTCACGGTATCTTTTTTAGTGGGCGGGGGCCGGGGGGCATCATTGTATCCATTTCGCCAAATCAAATGGCCTGATTGGTGGTTGGCAGCCGTGCTGTCGTCCCCTTTCAATACCACGCCTAACCTATCGACGGGTTCTTCTATGGTTCATTCCACTCCAAGTCCCGCGGGGCTTAGGTTGCCGATTTCCATCACTGAACAACAGGTCCTCGTCACTATGGGGTTCGTCCCGTCTGTTGTTCATCACACGAAAGTCGATAATAAAAAAAAAAAATGATTCCATAATGGTGAGTATAAACAGTTCGATCGGGGCAAAGAGTAAAACATTTCATTCATGTATTGTTGTCACATTTGAATCTTTGATTGACCCCCCCCCCTCCCTCATAACGTGGAACCTCAATCCTCCTCGCAAATATGAGGTCATTTCCGCGTACCGCGATCGTTTGGCGTTTACTTTGCAATACAGTGTAAGAAATCCGTGTGTTTTCCGTCCAGCTCTACC